TTCGAAATTTCGATGAGCATCAACCACGCGACTCACTGAGCATCAAATATTTGAGAGTTCGATATACATAGCATATAGAGAGTGTCTCAAAGCAGTGGCTTACTCAGGATTTCGGCTCGGGGGGGGGGGCGCAAAAAATTTTTTTCAATGAAGGTGCTTGGCATTGGCCACGCACCCAAAACTTTTTACGCTTCTCAAAATTTTCGCAGACCCACAACCCCAAAATTTTAGAAAAAGGGCGCGTGGCGTCAGCCGCGCCTCTGAAAAAATTCCTTTATAAGGCTAAACTGAATTTTTAAAAATTTTTAAAAATTGTTTAATTACTTACTGAGTCTCTTGCACAATTTTATGACTCATGTCTGTAACTTTCGAAAACTTCCCACCCTCCCCGCTCCCCTTCCTTGGCACGCTACTGTCTCAAAGATATCTACACACTCTTTTATCGCTAATATCTACAGTCTTAAGGTACCATTCTTAGAGCTTGCTTCAGCTTACATCTGCAGGAAAAACGAGGATTACACTCAGCTCTACTTATTGCAGTACGGCAGAAACTTTTAGCCGTAGGGTCACAACAAAATCAGCCGTTTGGAAAGACTTCTTTAGAAAATCAAAATATTTGGCAGTGTTTTTACGTATACTGATCTCATTACAACTTTTCACAAATTTTCCGAGCAGTGTGCAATTAGGGTTGGGTACAAATTTCCCAATAAGTTTGAATGCTTTAACGTATGCGCTTTTGTTTTGTTTTTGATTTCCTTATCAGGATAAATATGGCCCCGTTGTCCCAAAACTCTCTTCAGTTCTTCGAAATTGATTTTACAGCAGTGAGGTGCGATATTTGAATTGCCTCATACTGAAGAGTTAAGTTGAAGCAGAACTAAGCTTAGGATCTAATTTCGGCAAACTACAGGGTGTCTCAAAAAAATGTGAACACTGTTTGATCGTTAATAACTCCCTTGCTTTCAAGCTTTTCGCCGTGCTTTAGGTACCATTTTATAGAGCGAGGTTCAACTTAGACATACAGTATGGAGCGAATCATCGATCGCTTTTCATTACTGTAGGATTACGGTAGCAATTTTGACAAGGATTTTAGGCCATTGGAGGCCATAATCTGCTTCGAAACAAAACCAAATAGGCCAAAAACTCTTGTACTATAGGAATGGAAGCCGCTGATTGCGAATATGAAATTTCCACTTTACTGTGATGCTTTTTTCCAAGGTTATCCCAGGTAAATCGTAATAGCTGAATTTCCAGCATTTGTAAAGAATGTGATTACACCGTCAAAAAAGCTAAAAACACTCGTAAAAAGTTGTGTAATGAAATCAGCATGCATGAAAATTCTAGTACACAGTTTTTCAGATTTTTTGAAAAACTTTTACCAAATGGCATATTTCAAATAAATCCACATGCTAAAAATTCATACCGTAATCCTACAGTAACGAACAGCGATCGGTGATCCGCCCCATACCATAAATCTAATCTGAACCTCGCTCTACAGAATGGTGCCTCAAGCTCGGCGAAAGACGTGAAAGCAACGGAGTTATTAACGATCAAACAGTGTTCACATTTTTTGGGACACTCTGTATATGGGAGGAAAATTAACGATTATGTATCGTCTATATACTTTTAGGGTATCCCGTATAGCGACCCACTACTTTATATAACGGATATGTGCATGGATGGTCGCGGTGGCTAGCTGAACAGTACGCAAGAAGAGCCGTTCTTCTATGTAGCAGAAGTTGTTCGCCTACTAGTCAAGGGCGGCACGATTCGAGATAAAAATATTTTTTGTAGCTCTAAAAATTCATTCACAACCGTCATAGAAGTACGCTTTAGGTACTCATGTCTCTTGATGTTATCACTAAACTGTTTTCCCATCATAAATTGTAACATAAAAGGTTTTGTTCCAACTAATTGTATAAAACAACTTATTATTAGGTGGTAGGTCCCGCTGGCATTGGCATTTAGCATTTATCTCATTGATTATATTATATTTATAATATATTCGAATATCATTACCAAAGATCGAATCCTTCTTACATATAAAGCTGAATGTCTGTTTGTCTGTATGTCTTTATGTATGTACATATTCCGAATAGAAATTTTTAATTTTAAACCGATCCGAATTGAACTTTACGCACATACACTCTGGGCGGGGCGGGGTTGCAGGCCACTTTTTGTTATCGGTCGATATCGATTTTATCGATTTCCTGTAAAGATTGACCTGTGGGGCTGTAAATTGGTGCAAGGGGGGGGGGAGGGAATCGAGCATGCTGATTACGGATACGATATTAGTCTTCAAAATTATCCCTTACTTTTATCGATTTTAGCGATTTTTTGCAAATTTAGCTACGGGGCTGGGAGTTGGCACAACGGGGAAGTGAGCATGCTGATTACTAACACAGCGGGATTAGGGAATTGACATGCAGAAGTCTGCACAGGGAGAGGTTGTACAGGGATAGAAATAAAACCTTTATCATAGTGTTTTGACAGGGCGGGACGGAGCCGGTAGTTAGCTAGTAATATGCGAAAGTTCAAAGATATTCAACATTCGAATATTATTTGATAGTCGAATATTCGAAAATCTTGATTTTTGGATTTTATTCGATATCCGAATATTCAAAAAAATTCGAATTCCCCTAGACTATATATGTGAGAAATCTGAAATTTCGTGGCATTACATGAAAAAGTTCAAAATTTGGGACTTTTTATGAGAAAATTTGTTTTCAGATTCTTCACAGTCAATTTCGCGTTGTCAGTGCAATTCGAAGAATACTCTGTATCTTGAGGAACGTGCATGCTTTTGTAGTGACCTTAATGCAAACAATTTTTTTGATCTCTAGCTTCTAAGCGGTTTTCGAAAGAGAGAGAGAGTAGGGAAGTGGTATACCACAGCAAGAGCTTCAACAGGATGATACCATCGCACTATTCTTGTCGTGCGAACCTGCTCAAACGCTGCCTTTGAGTGATACTGGATTTCATAGTGACGAGGAAGGCAGAAATTGTAATGCTGATAATTGCGGAACTAAACTTTTTTACAAGTAAGCACGACGAAAACATCAAGACATGAAAAGAACGTTATGCGAACGATATTGTCGACCGTTAAATGCTAATAGTTGCATTATTGCTGCTTATTCTATCATTTCGTTTTGTGTGAGAGGTTTCGTAGAAATATATAAATAAAAGATATTGCTTTCAACGCTTATGAGACCTGAGAGATAAGCTGCACATTTTCACACCCTGGGATAGAGCGGAATTGTATCAATCATGTGATAGAGCCTAGAATTCGAGAAAAAGCTCTTGCAGCAGATGGCACCTATCAATGGTTGCCTATGTAGAATGTGTAAATCAAAGGTTATGAAGACATGTATAACGTTTCGTTTTAGCTATCAGCCGTTCTGACCCATGGCTCACATGACTGATAATCGGAGAGTTAGGCGCAAGATTCGAACGAGCTTGACGGCTGTGCGCATTGCCACTACCCGAGTTTGGGGTACCTCCTCTCAACGGAACCTACGGGCTCTGCGGTCCTCCACAAAGGACCATGCGGCCCTCAACAATTTTGCAATTCTCGCAGAGAGTCCAGTCCATGAGTATAAGCCACTGCGCCGCAATTAATCTATGAAAAAGTCGAGATTGTTCTCTGAGATTTTCTCTAAAAAGTGGTCAACATTTCCCGAATATCTGTAAGCAGACATTAAGATTTCAGCGAGCTATTTTTCTGATGTCTGCTGGCTATAAATAGCATGGCCGCCTACCCCCGGCAATTCTCTAACGAGCTGATGTCGAAGCGAGCTACAATGCTCATCGTCTCTTCCTTCGAATTCGCCTTCAAAGGTCAAGTAGTGAACTTAATAAATTGTTATTAGGTTGGTAAGAAAGTTCTCGAACATTTTCAGACTAAAACTACTATTTCTCGAAACCTAATGCATATACACCCAAGAGAGATACCATTCGATAGAGCAAAGCAAGCTCTACAAGATGGTATGCAAAAATTCGCACCAGCTTCGACCCACCGTTAAGCACCCAAAATCTGAGTCGTACTGAAATTTAGGAAATCGCGAAAAATTCGTATCTTTGTTCAAACAAATCCTACGGATCTCCAACTTGCCCATAAAAATTGCACACCAAATCAGACACTCACATGTACCGTTCCTATATTTTTCCCTCATCTAAGAGTCGAGAAAACAAAGATTTTCATGCTTATACAAGAACGAAGCTACGCGTTTCCACACGTGTAACTGCATAGTACACCCCCATAGAAGGATAACAGTAAATTTTTAGCTTTCTACAGGCTCTAGTTTCCAAAAATTACTGGATTGAGTTCTCCCCACTCATTCTCAAACACTAGGGCTTGCGGAAAGCTAAAAATTTACGGTTATACTTCTAAGGGGGTCTACCATGCAGTTACACGTGTGAGAACAGCGTAGCTTCGTTGTACAAGCATGAAATTCCTTGTTTTCTTGATTCTTAGATAAGGAAAAATACAGGAACGGTACATGTGAGTGTATGATGTGGTGTGCAATTTTTATGAGCGAGCTGGAGATCCGCAGGATTTGTCTGAACAAAGATACGAATTTTTTGCGATGTTCTAAATTTCAGTACGACTCAGATTTTGGGTGCTTAACGGTGGGTCGAAGCTTGTGCGAATTTTTGCATACCATCTTGTAGAGCTTGCTTTGCTCTATCAAATGGCATCTCTCTCGGGTGTACGTGCATTAGATTTCGAGGAATAGCAGTTCTAGTCTGAAAATGTCCGAGAACTTTCATTCCAACCTAATAGTTGCTCCTATCGCATTTTCACTTGGTGCTTTCGCTATATGAAGCGCTATTAAGTCAAAGCAAGTCAACGCAGCTTTAAGCCTATTTTTGTACAACTACAGTGGTGTTCAAAAGTTTGCAGTTATCCTGAAATTCGCTATAACTTTCGCATATAACGAAATTTTGACATTGCGTGCAAACCACACTGCCTAATAATATGCCTGATTTGATGAACTGACCACGAAGGCGATGGTAGACTGACGTTTGTCGCGTGGGCGATAAGGCTAAAGTAACAATTTTCAGCGTGCTTATATATTATATCATACAACTCTCTTCTGTTCCTGAGCTATTCCTCGAATAGCATAACATAACAGTATCAAAATAGCAGAATTTCATAAAATGACTAGCAGGCCGCTGACTAAGCCTTGTTTCAAGATGAAGTGCAATTTCAAATGTGAGAGAAAGAATGTTTTTTAATATTTTCTGTAACGTTACGAAAACTCCGCACGTAGTAGACGAGCTAATGGCGTTTATGATGAGAGCGGAAGGGAATTCTCGTACAAAATTCACAAAACATTGAAGCGATACACAAAAGAAAAAAGCAGAAAGATAACACACAACACAATTACTTTGATATTTTGAATTATGAGTCTGGGAAGACAGGTTACAAAGGTTATGAGGGAGTTAATGACGTGATTGCTTAGCGTACTCAAATATGAGACGTCTTCAGAGATCTTGCACTGCTCATTTTCTGCGCTTGTCTTCTTCGACCAAGTTGTTGCTGATGTAATTTAGGTGGCCGTAAACAGTAATATCAGTCTTGCCTCCAGGACAGCTGACAATGCAATTCATTGATATTGCTTAAGTGTTAAAATGAAACTACACTTTGTTTAGAGACCCATTCTGCATCTTGCCACTTGATTTTTGGTTGGGCACATATCGGCTAATGTGTCTCCTTCCTTACTTTTGCATGAAACAGGAAGTTCAGCTCCGGCGGTAAAATTATAGCATTCAACAAGGTCGCACTTCGCAAGTAGTATGCGTTTGCTGGGTACTGCTGATTTTCATGTTTTCCGCGACAACTTGTACCTGTGATGCCGATCCGACGTCAGCCTTTGCGTAAACTTCACCATCTTGAGTGAAAGTTGCATAAGATTTGGATACCTGAGGTAATGTAGAGCTTTTCATGAGTTTGTGCAAGATGCCTTCTGAAATGCGCTCAACCAGCATTCGTCAAACTTCAAAAATGAGGCTTTACGCAGAAATTTGCTTGCACTCCAGACGGCAGCAAAAACTGGATAAATTATTAGATTGTCAAGAAGTAATCGGCTGATCATCTTGGCTCCTATGGAAAGATTGTTCCATTCGAAAGTTTAGTGGCGGTTTGCGAGTGTGCCAGAAAAAAAAAACGTTATTTGATGTGCTTCAAAATCTATTACCATCTTAACTCAATTGTAGCACCTTTCACCTCAAAAAGTGGGCTCAGCGATCTGAACAGTACAGCAAACTTGATGCACAAACTTCTTTGCAGCAGTAGCGTTGTCATGTTTCCAAAAGCCCTTCGAACTTCGGGCGTGAACGTCTTCGTAAGAGACTTTTATCAAGCTTGCGGACTGTTCAGATCGCTAAGGCCATTTTTTGAGGTGACAGGTGTTTACGGTGGTAGATTTTCAAGCATGCCAACTAATATTCCTTTCTTCACATTCGCAGACCGCCACCATATCCAGATGGAACAATTTTTTCATAGAAGCATAGATGATCAGCCGATTACTTCTCGACAATCTGATGATTTATCCAGTTTTTAACTTTTGGCCAGCACTGTATTAGTGTGATTAAAGCTGTGTCGCACCATTCTCAAAAATTCATAGTTTTCCGCTTTTCAACGGATTTGCAAGCAACCATTTCTACTCGGAAGAAGAAATCATGCGCTTTATCTGCATATATCACGCCTAATACATACACATTGCGCAGATAGAAGGGCTAGAATCCTGCGTTCAATCGTAAAATGTCTAAAACTTGCGGTAAAAATTGGAGTAGTCAGTTATAGCTTCCTTTAAGCCCACTTAAAGGAAGCAGGTGAACAAATCTGTTTGAATTATTGACAACTTTGGATAACAACGCATACGCCTTGCTATGTGCAAATCTCTGTTATCTTAAGTTAGTACGCTGCTGCTCTAATCCACCACTCATTCGGGCAGCGCGAGGAGACTAGACAAACTTTTTCATGATTTCCGGAAATTCTAAAGTTTCAAAGTTATAAAACAATTCCAAATTTTGCATTTTCATACCGCAAAGTCCCTGTGCATCTGACACACCATCTAACACTTGCTTGATGGCGCCCTCGATAATTCTATTCATGCAAAAAGCAAAATTAATGTCAAAAGGGTAAGTCCCAGTTCAAAATTATGGACTAACTTTATGCATTGAAGTGTATTTTACCAAAATAATGAAAAAGTGAGGCAAGCTGCACATAAACAGAGAGTCGAGTCATTCCCGCTTTTATACAAATAATGCATGCTTTAACTTTTCATGCAGTAATACTTTTTAACCTTTGCAAGTCTCCAGAGACGAGGACAAGCGCAAATGACTCTGTTTTTGAATGCAAGCTTTATCAAAGACCGTTGCCCAATCGCCATGCTGTTCAAAGTGAATAAACCTCGAATACGAGCGCATCATTCTACACAAGGCATGAAGGCACCGTCCACCCAGATTCTTGATTTCCTGGTTTTTCTCGTTTCAAGGCCTTCTCATGTGCCTGATTCCGATTATGAAGTCGAGAATCCTCGAAAACCCCCCAAATCCCCGCTGAAAACCCGCATGCCGGTTCTTCAGAACGGTGATTGGATGAGCGCACACGGATGGGCAGGCATGGATGGGGAGGACGGTGCCGTCTGAGGGCCCTCGTGCATTTTCATTATTCCGGAGCAATTTTCTCGCTTCCGAAGCGGCATTTTAAGCCGCGATTGTGCGTTGGCTTTATGGGTGCCCTACTATCACATGCTGCCAAAAGCTCAACACCCTCAACTTAGGGTGGACGATCCTATGAAGTCATCTGCGATGTACTACTAGCGTGGCCCAATAAAATGCGTTGACCTTTACATCCCTTACAAACTGTGTTATTGAGTGTGTTAACTGCGATGATACGTCCAGTTTCCCTATGATGTCAAAGTGTAAGGATTTATTGGTAGGAAGCCATTCTATAAGAATATGCATGGAAATTCGTTCGTAATAGTTCTTGGATGTGCTGCTTACATTAAACAAAATCATTTAGTGCAATGATGGCAGAAAATTGTGCCCGGCCGAGATCTATCTGATCGGTGTGTCTAAACTTGCTCCCTATAAACTCAAGTGCCTTTTTTAAATATGTCATTCATTAAGTCCGAGAAAAAAGGTGCAGATGATTCAAAAGTAAAGGCACGATGAAGGCCTAGAAGCAGTATAAGCTGAGCGGGCGCGAACGCGACGCGCGCGTATCCTCACAGTTGCATCCCGCTCGTTATGCGCTCTGCGGCTAGTAACGCCGTGTTCGCGCTTGCAGATATTGCGCCTTCGTCATGCAGCAGCCTGTATTTAGACAACATCAGAGAAGCAACTACAATTTGGTTGAAAGTCACCAATTTTTCAGAGCGCAAAAAATGGGCTTTCCCTTTGCCGTTAACCCATATGTGTTGGGTTGTATCGCTCACTTTCCCTAATTCAAATAATTGATTACTGATAACTAATTCAAATACAGAACGTGCCGTAGCTAGTGTAAACTTTGCGTTTTGTTATTCTCTGACTGATGATTAGAAAAGTCGTGCTCACATTGCTCTTCAAAGCTAGGAGAGTCAACCCTGCTAGGTTGACCGTTCAAATGTACTTCACAGATTCTCTTGAGTATTCCAACTTAGAACGATTTATCCATGAAAAATTTAGAAGGATTTATGCATGAAAAAACTTTCAAACAAAAATTTTAGAAAATTTGTGGCTCCACTCTTGAATTAGGATTTCATGTATGAAACCCGCAGCTCACAAGGCTGAAGGTACGTGCTCTCACGTTCTTTGTCCAAAGTTGCAAGTATTGCAAGTTGCAATGTTTTGCAGGCAAGTACTTATTAAATAGGAGATAAAATTCTATGTGGATGGTAGATGGATTTTTAATGGATTTATATAATTTCCAAGATTACTGAACCTTTTTCACAATTTCTTGGCAAAGTCATTGCACCATGCCCCACCAGAGTTGTCTGTACAAGCAATGATGATGGTTACGAAAGTGGTATTTTTTCAAGATATTTGAGAAATATTATATGAAAATCTTGATTTGAATAGACGACAATAGGTCTCTCTCTCTCTTTCTTTCTTTCTGTCTGTCTGTCTCTCTCTCTCTCTCTCCAAGCGAGGTAAAGTCGACTGCACGGAATCGGCCCAAGTCGCTGTAGGCTGAACGCGCGCGAGCGTGCCTGCAACGCGCTCCGAGCACGGGCGCTATGCTGACTCATGCGCGCGAATGCCAATGCTGGTCTGCAAGAGACACGCGCGGGCGTTCGGTTCGGGCGATTCCGTGCAGTCAACTATAGTTTCAAACTTGCGGTACATAAATTGTAAGCGGACGTTGCATTTTCCTAGAATGAGATAATTTTGCACAATATGGCAAGCTAAAAGTTATTGAAAAGAGATCCAGTACATTTCGCATGTTAGGGAGACAAATGGCGCAAAATTGAGAATACACATCAGGGTAAAGTAAAATGATCAAGATTGGTGTCAAATTCATTTGCCTGTGAGTTGTACTGCACTTAAAGAAGTGTTCAAGAATAGCTAGTTAAATAGCTAAAAAGAAAAAAGTTTTTAATTCACATTGTTCAAATAACCAAAAAGCTCCGTTTCGTTCCTGGCCTTAGATGGAGTGAAATTATTTACAGACCTTCCCCGGAACTCCTCAGTAAGGAAGGAAGGACTGTAGAATTTATTTTCAATACTGAGAAGTAAGTTTGCTTAAAAGTAATAAGTAAGTAAGTATGTTTGAGAGTAATCAGTATATGCTTTTTTTGAAAAGCAAGGTTTAAGGAGATTGTGTAAGTGAGAAGACAATTTTTCGGACATAGATGTGTGTCATACTGACAATACTAGTTCTGAAAAACTGAGAATCTCAACAATTGCCAGATTAGGGGAAATAATTTCTTGAAGAGTGAAAAACCTGGATAATCTGCCTACCAACAAAGTTCTGTTCCGTTCCCTCTGCGAAAAGTTACACCGTCACGAAAGCATAATAAACTCCCTCAGTTTTCCCCTTT